GAAAGTTTTATTTAACTTATCCAAGAACAAAAATCTTATCTCAAAATCGTCTTTATAAAATACGTTTTGAAGCATTTGAATTAAATCAAAATGCAACAATTCGATTTTTATCGATTTGGGAATATCCAATTGAGTTTAATTTTCTTCCCTCATATCGTTTAGCAAAAATATTAAAATTTCAAGAACGAAATCAACATTGTCAAAGCAATCCTTGTCAAAATAATGGAACTTGTATTCATATAATGAATATTAATGATTCTACAACATATTTTTGTTCATGTTCAACCAAATCCTATGGAAAAAATTGTGAATATATTGATAATTCAAGTTGTTCAATATGTTCATCGAATAGTTTATGTCGATCACATTATTATTCTACAAATTCATCATTATGTTTATGTTCAATGAATCGTTTTGGTCCAAGATGTTATCTTGAAAGAATATGTGATATGTATCATAATAAAAATCCATGTTTCAATGGTGGACTTTGTTATGTTCAATATGATCAAGATTCTTTATTAAAAGATTATATTTGTATTTGTCAAAATCAATATTATGGTGATTCTTGTGAATCGTCCTCCGGTCAAATTAATATTAAATATTTAATCAGTGATTATTCAATTCTTGCATCGGTTATTCAACTTTATAATTATGATATTTTTACATTAGATTTTATTTTAAAAAAACAACAAATTTCAAAAGAACAACCATTATATTCAACTGTTATTTATCCAGGAGAAATTTTACCAAATTTTGGTTTTCTTAAAATTTTTTTACATTCAATAGAAATTAAATATTTTCTCTTATATTATCAAAAAAATGAGAAAAATCTTAGTTTAACTATTAATTTAAATGCAAATAATTCTTGTCAATATACACATTTCTTACTTTTTTCTAATATATCAAATGGAATATTTCAAGGATTAAATAGAACAACAATAATATTTCAATATCATAGTTTATGTCAACAATATGATTTTCGATGTTTTTATGATGAAAATTATTTTTGTTTATGTGATAGAAATAAACGAGCAGAATGTTTTCGTTTCAATCGAACTGTAGATTCATGTCGATATTGTTTAATGAATAGTCCATGTATTCAAGAAAATCCAAATGATCAATCAAATTTTCTTTGTTTATGTTCAAAATGTTATTTTGGTTCGATATGTCAACATAATACACGTTTATTAAGTTTTACATTAGATTCATTATTTGCTAATGATATTTTTTCAAATTCAATGATTATTCTTTATATTTTTATAATTATTTGTATTTTAATCTTTGCTTTTTTCCATAA